TTAGCCTTTTCAGCAAATGGTGCTGGGACAACTGGATATCACACACAGAAGAAAAAAGTTAGAACCCAACCTTACACCACATATAAAAGCTAATCCAAAATGGAGCAAAGATCTAAACATAAAGAGGTTAAACTGTGATATTCTTAGAGGAAAAAAAACAAACAAAAATCTTTGTACTCCAGATTAGAAAATGGTTTCTTAGAGATGCCACCAAAAACACAAGCAACGAAGGAAAATAATAGGTAAATTGGACTTCAAAATTTAAAACTTCTGTATTCAATAAAAGTGAAAAAAACAGACTACAGAATTGGAGAAAATTTTTGCAAATCATATTATCTGATAAAGAACTCTGGAACATATAACTATCACAACTCAATAAAAAAAGAAAAATCACCCAATTTTAAAAATAGGCAAAAGATTTGAGTAGATATTTTTCTTTTCTTTTTTTGTTAATCCTCACCCAAGGATATTTTTTTCCATTGATTGGTTGATTGATTTTTATTTTTATTTATTTATTTATTTATTTATTTGAGAGAGAAAGAGAGAGAGAGAGAGAGAGAGGAAAGGAAGGGGAGGGAAGAAAGAGAGAGAGAGAGGAGAGAGAAACATTGATGTGAGAGAGACACATGGATTGGTTGCCTCCCATACATGACCCATCCGGGGCTGGGGATTGAATCTGCAACCCAGGTATCTGCCCTTGATCAGGAATTGAACCCGTGACCCTTAGGCATGAGTTGATGCTCTAACCACTAAGTAATGCCTGCCAGGGCTGGAGTAGATATTCCTAAAGAAAAAAAAATCCACATATACAAAAGGTCAATAAACATATGACAAGATGCTTGATATTATGAGCCATTAAGAAAATGTAAATTAAAACCACAATGAGATACCACTTAACCTCCATTAATAATAAATGTGTGTGGGTGAGGATATGAAAAAACGGAAACCCCTACACACTGCTGGTGGGAATGTAAAATGATGCAGCTACTTTGGAACAGTTTATCA